TCAGCATTCATGGCCAGCAAAGAAAGGACCTCGGAGTGGATAACCTTCAACGTCGCTTTAAAATCGGCAGAAAGGTTGAGCAACGGAAGCGTCAGTGCTTGCTCCAACTTCGCATTCAGACGCTCAAGTTTATCCTTGTGTCTGACAGCACTAGCCCTTCCAATGTCCATATCCATGAAGGACACGTACTCAAATATCGACTCCTTGAGGAACTTCAAATCTTCCTCTAAAGAAGCAGCAGGACGATCAGATGGAGCAGGGCGAGAAGTCTGGACTTGCCCCCAGGAAGCGAACAAGTCTTGGATAGAACGCACAATCTTGTCAGCATCCTGCAAAGAAAATTGCCAATATTAAAGATTCTCACTATAACGAACAAGATAGAAATAAAAGTGAAGCAAAGATTACCTCATCAACAACCGTGGAAGATGGCATGTCTTCAGCCAAGTCTGCCACCAACGATTCCTCCATTCATGAGGACTTCCCCTTGTCTGAGCGAGAAGATGTTGCCACAACGGGCAGACTCATAGTAGTATCTGCAAAATTCAAGAGCAACAAATCAGAAACCAACAGCACCAGCAAAGGTAAGACATCAAAAGACTGAATTACCTTCTGCTTCGATGTTTGGGGGGTTGACGCCCTGGGAAGAAGTTGGTTCATCCATGGGTTGTGATGAGGACTCTGGGAATGCAAACGTCTCTTTAAGCGTAGTCCCCTCATCAACCAGTTTGGATGAAGCAACCTCAGCGGAAGATGATGGAGCAGGAGCTGTCGATGCCAAAGCCTTTGAAGGAGAGGCTGAGCTTTTCTGAGAAATCCAAAAGATCATCAGCACACAGAAAAGTTTCAAGTATGGAAAAGTATGCTTGTGAGTAAACCAGCTTAATTACCTTCCTCCTGACGATAAGAGGGGCATCATCATCATCAACATCATCCTCCAGAATGGGAGATGCTGAGGCTGGCCGTTTACGGCTTGGAGCACTCTTGGCTGTAGTAGGCTTGGCAGGGAGAGAAGAAGATGGACGAGCAGAATGTTTAGTGCGACGAGAAGGAGAAGGACTCCGAACGGACAAAGGAGTGACTAAAACAGGAGGAGGGGAAGAAATGCTCGGCTGATCCAGTGAATGAAAGGCACGATTGGCGTCAATTGCAAATAATCTGCGCTTCACTGACGGCCAGAGCTGTTCAAAAAGAGGGTGAATGGCGTGGCTAGAATTGAAGGGGGCTAATGAAAAATGGCTGGTTAAAAGAAGATTGCGAGCATCTACAGCCTCTGCCTCCGCCTTATTAATAGTATGAAAACGGTCAAGTAAGTTCCTTGAATAGCAAGGAGGAACAGGCCAAGTTTGGCCAAAACCAAGCTGGCGTGCATAAAATTGGGGAGCATAAATTTCTACCCCTGCCTTGGTATTGGTCCCAGTTAAAATATCATGAAAAAGCTCCCTCGCGGTTAAAAACTGGATCCAAATAAGCAGGGAAGTGCTCGCACTGTCTATAGTGGAGAGGGGATGTACATAGTTTGGAGTCAAAAAAGGAGGAAAAGGAAAAAAGGAAGAGATTGAATCCAAAGAATAAAAGAATGAAAAAATGTCCCTTCTGGACATATTTACAAGAGCCAAGGGCTCCATGGCTAGCCCATAACAGCTAGCAGAGGGGCGAGAGATTGATGGAGCACCAATCAGTGGAAAATAGGATCTCAACCACAGTTGAGTGAATCAGAAAGGTCCACTGTCAGTAGGAGATGCACCATTCTTCAATTGAGCTTGAAGAGAAGCTATGCCTCTATAAAGGGCAGCAAAAAAGAAAGAACATAAATTTAAAGGCCTGCCACGCGCCAATTCGTGCGCTATAGGTAAATAACTCAGGGAGGGCTTTATACTTGGCACACACAAAACGTATTTACAAAACCAAACTAGAAGAAAGGCCACTCGCTCAGTATGGGAAGGCTAAGCGCTCGAATGATTGTGAAGGGTTTGCAGACTTGAATAAGATTCGGTGTAGTTTTTACCAAACTTTGGGGCTCCACCAGAAACCAAGATACTAGAAAAAATGGTATCGCCCAAAGGTAGTAGATTCACCAGGGCCCCAACATCCCTTAAAGTAATAGACATGAGGCCAAGAGGGAAAATAAAGGTATTATACTCGAAAGACCAAAAACTCAAAACAATCGAAAAGAGTGCTGAATCAAAAGTAGGGGGCGAATAGAGATTTCTAGCAAATCAGAAATCCTAGCGCTATCAAAAAATGTCTTAGTAGGGCCATGACCCACAAGACGAGCATGCCACCTACGAAAAGCTACATCAGATTTAGGCCAAGTGCGAATACCTCTTTCGCGAAGTGGCCCCAGCGGTAGAGAGTTTAGGAATGGAGGGCTTTGAGTGCAAGGAAACAGCTGACCCACCGTCGCCTGTTCAACTGCCTCCGCATTGTTGAAGAAAGGACCCAAGTAGAACTCATTACGTTCGACATCGGCGGGCGCGAGAAAACTCGAAGTTATGCATGGACGACTTAGAAGTTTCTGAAAGTCATCAAAACTAAAGGAGTCGTCAGCTTGAGATTGTGAAGTAGCCATTTGAGAAGGAACGAAGTTTTTCAGGGTTACGTAGCAAGGAAGCAAAAGATGAACAGTAAATCGTGAGAGATACGCAAAAATTTGAGGCGTGATTTAATGGTGCAGTGAAATGGCGTGTTTGGGGGTTATAAGGGTTTGCAAAACGACGCACCTTTTCAAGTTATAGAAGAAAATAATGATTGAAATTCTTGAGAATTTCGAATGTTGCTGGAAACACAAAGTGAATATGGCAAAATTTAATAATTATTATTAATTCTGCCATATTGGGGGGTAATTGTTGACACATAAAAATTCAGCCCAAATCGAACGGCTCAAGGAGTGAAGCCCAATTGGAGGATCCCCAAATCAGATAGCCCAAAGAACGAAATCCAATCAAAACAAATCATGACGAAGGCCCAAATAGGGAGGCCCAAGAACGCGGTAACGTCATCGCCCAAGATTGCAAGTCGCCTAGAATCTGAGCGAATGGAGTGCCATACAGTCGCCCAGAGTTGTTATTCTATTCTCGCCCAAACCTTCAAGTCGCTCAAGGTCTTAACAAACATAAAGCATTATGGTTATCAAGAAGTGCAGTTATCAAAGCAGTTGTTAAAACAGCCCTATCACTTTCCACGATTCAAGGAATTCAATCGAAAGCGGTTGAACGATGAAGAGTGATGGCAGCAGTTAAAAAAGGCAGTTTTCATGACAAGTTGGTCATTACGAGAAAAGTGGGTAGTTATAGGACGATCAAGCAGTTTTTAGGCGGTTGATCACAAAGATATCGTCCATGAAGTATAAAAGGGAGAAAAGACATAGAGCAAAGGATCGAATCCAAAACTCTCGAACAGAGAACATGTAATTTTAATTTCCTTAGCTTAGACTTAAACACTTTTCTTTCAGTAACTCGTGTGCTTGCGCCCCTTAGAGGCACTTTGTTTTTAATTTCCAATTGTAAAGTCATCGTCAATAAAAGAACACCCCTTTTCGGGACTTTGTCTCAAAAGATTTGTCCCTTATACAATCGTCTGATCCTTTTTAATTGTTAGCGACTAATCCGCACGAAACAAGATGTTTGCAAACTCAAGACGACTGCAGTCCTTGCTGATAATTGTAGTGGACCATGTTTCAATTTCCCATTGTTTCTCATATAATCTCCTCGTTTTCCGACCGTCACTGCTAAAAAAGGATACAGATGCTTTTGAAATTTGTTTATAAATACATTGAACATCAATTTCACAGCATGAAATTGCGAATCAGATGATATGGTAAAGGTGGTAAATTCAAATGGGACAATGGCAAGTGTATAAACGATTTAAATTATAATTATATTGAAATGAGTGATAAATAAATAGATAGTACTCGTATATCCCTCAAAATCTTTGAATAAAAGCCTAAAAAGAGTGTTTATAAACTACATCAGTAACATATATATATTGCATTTTCAAATACATCAGGATGATCTTTTATTGTAATCAATAATCATCAACGCTCACACTCCAGTTACATGCAATCAAAACTAAAGCTGCTCATACTTGCGAGCCAAAGCTCTTATAATACCATAATCGTTCCAACTCAGAACACAAGAGCCAAGTTCACTGTTTCACTTGGGACACCTCAAATGACCAATACTTCAAGTTGCTCACGAAAGTTTCTGTCAAATTTCACCCAGAACCTCGAGGAATTCGGGAAATCAAGGCGATTATCACCATCAAAATTTGTCCAGCACTAATGACCAAAACTCCTCCAACAATGTCATGAGCATGCAAATACCAGATCTTGAAATCCAGGCAAAACGTCTTCAACCAGAAATTAGCACTCATTTGTCAACTCAGTGGAAAAGAAAGCAATAACTTAATTACGGATATCTTGACATGGCTAACAGAAATGATGACATAACATTGAAACCATGATAGTGCATTACTTTTTATCATTCAGCAAGTCAGGGAGCGTATCACTAGACAAGTCGTGTCTTTGAAATGCACTTACATAAAAAAAGAAAGCATGGTCGGCCTTACTAGACACGTTTTTGCCTAGTTGGAGATAAAAATAATAATAATAATAATGCACCCACGGACTTTTCAAGCCACACCATCATTTCCATCCATTCAGAAGATGAAAGTAAAGAGAATGAATAAATTGAAACAAAAATGGAAGTTCAGCGACTGATTTGGAAAAAAATGTTAAAATGACTAAAATGAAACAACACGTTTTTGAGTGACTAACCGTGTTTTTGACACAGCAATCTTCCTAATCAGAAAATACAAACTAAAACCATTTCATGAACGTAATTATAGAAGAGGCAGAAAAATGTAACAGATTGCACGTAATGAACAATAGGAACCTACCTCAAAGTTGATGCCCCATAGTTTCATACACAGAAGCACTCCCTACACTTCAAAACTGAGCATGCCAGGTGGCTTTCAGTCAATTCCCCCCCAACACCTTGCAGTTCAATATATGCATAATCCCACATAGAAACTACTTGTTCTCAGCTGACTAAAAGTTCGGTCCAATAAAACAAAAAAGTTAAATCGTAGAATACACACATTTGTCCATCAACTCATGTAAGATATCCAAATTAAAGGTACAAAAAACAAAATACACCAAATTCTTCGAACCAAGTTTCTAACGACCCCACCCCTCCATCCTAGACCTCTCCATTTTCTTCTAATGAGCTGAATGTTTGCAAAAGTAGACTACTAGGAACATTTTGCATCGCCAAACTACTGCAGGTGCAAAATGGTGACTTAGGTAGATCCCAATCAACTCATCTGCATCGCATCGGTGTGATATTTCTCTAAATCAGCATCTAGATCATCCGCTGATATTTTCTCATCACGGCCTCTTCCTCGTCCGCGGCTTCTTCCAAATCCACGACCTCGTCCGGTGCCACGTGACCTACCAAAACCACCACCCCTTCCTTGTGCACTGTACCATCACCAGAATCTCAGAAACATAAGATTAAACAACCAAAACACTAACTACAAAATTCTATTACGCACTTTTTTTAATTTACATTCTCACATGTTAGAAAATGGATACTAAACATAACATGCCCCATGGTAGTTTCTAAAGCTTTAGTTGATTTGAATTTTCCGTACATATAGAAATAAATCAAAATAAGTGATGAAAAAATATTCATTCTCAATTTTAGGTTAATAGAAATATAATTAGGTTTTAATGGTTATAGGTATTCATTTGATAATTTGCTTCCTTGTTACATGAACAAACTCAAATGACAAGACTTTTTTTGGCACTTTTTAAGCTTAAAATTTTTTTAAGTAAATAAGCTTTAAAGTTGTTATTTTTAATCAAAGTCAGAAATACATTATTTATTTTGAAATTGACATCTGCTACTATTTAAATAAATAACCTTTTAATTATAAGGGAAATATGATTTTTCCGATCATATTCAGAAAACAAAAGTCTACTTAGTTTAGGTCACTTTCAAGGTTTACCAAAAATGCTCGTCACTACAAATAATATGAACAACGAGCTCATCATCTGCAATCATTGCCCCAAAAAATAAACATCAAGATAATATTTTGATGATTAATCGGAATAATATTAGATTCAGGTAATTGTTACACACAAGCAGGAACATATTCAGATCATGCACAAACAACGCTTTAACTCTCGGAGAAAAAATATTTTAAATAAAGTCATTTTGTGCCAGTAATTTGTTTTTCTTCCACCATAGATGATTCTCAAATAATAGTGAAAAAACAAAAAAACACCACATTGATCAAATTTTAGCCCACATGCATGGAGACATGAATTCCATATTAAGCATCTATACATGTTCAATTATGTTCACTTCACCCAGAACATCAATCTATAGCCATAAATGTCTTTATTAGATGACATAATAAAGGCGCAGATGCTGAAATAACATATATATGGACCGCTCTAGTCCAACGATAATCAATAAATGGTAAAAGAATTTCCCCTAGAAAGATATTAATTCGGTACTGTTTTCATTGTTCCGAAGACAGCTCCTGATTTTTATATTTCTTGCTCACTCATGATCTAAACATTTATCCATCCTTACCCATCTTTAATCCCACAAGCACAATGACTTCCTACTTCAGCCTCAGAAACATCCATTATTCCACTTCTCAAAAAAAAAATAAAGAAAAAGAAGTGTAACCCCCTGGTGATTTTCACAAGACACCTACAGGCCTACCTCAACCATGCACATAAGACCTTTATAAGAGGTCAGTAGCAACAATACATACTGTAATATTGAAACATATATACACACCTTGGTGGAGCCACATTCGAACCACCAAAAGCACCAGCGGGTGGAAGACCAGAAGCAGGAATGTTAAGGTTTGTTCCAACTAGCTCTATTTTCATGGGTTTCCCGTCTAGCTGGACATTGTTGTACCTCTTGACAGCTGCTAATGCATCTTGACGTCTTGAGAAGACTACTTCAGCAGTACCCTAAAGAAAAGAATTTTAGCTAAACATCAACAAAACAAATCTTCGCAGAAGCACCAGATTAAGCCAAACAGAATAATACCTTTGATCTCCCACTCCTATCATAGTGTATTGTATAACGTTTCAGGTCACCAACCTCCGAGAAGAGTTCCTGCAGATTAAGAAGACCATTCCCTTTTCACTAATACAGAACTATATTATTAAGTACTACATGGATACCTAGATCTAGCAAATTTAAACAGAGAGCAATGATAATAATCAGTTCGAATTTTAAAATAAATTAGCAGCAAAGAATCACCTTAATATCCTCGTTAGAGACCCCATAATCCAAATTCGATAGGTATAACTTCGTCCCAGTCTCAATATTAGAAGCTCGACCGCCACCAGCGAACATGTCATGACCCCAAACTGATTCCGGGGCCTAAATTCATCAGAATAACATAAGCACTCGTGCAAGTGTAAAAATAGAGTGAGATTGACGGGAGAAAAAGGCGGATCTGACCTTAGCCACAGCATAGGGGGCAGCGCGATTAGCAGAGCGATTGGGGAAGCGGCGAGCGGGGCCGGGACCAGAGCCGCGGCCTCTACCCCGAGGAGCAGATTTCTTATTGCTCTTGATTAGATCATCAAGAGTCATGTCAAGAGCAGCACCTGACATCTTCTCTTTACTTGGATAATCGCCGACCGGCCGGCAGACGAAAAGGGGATCTGAAGAACGTTTGTAGGGCTTTGAATGTGAAAGATCTTTCTATTCGCGTAACATCTTTTTAGGAAATTACACAAAACCTAGCATAAAAATCCTCAATTCTAAAATCTGGAGCTTTCACTTTTCAAAAAATAGATTTTTTATTTCAATAAATTTTTTTACTAACGGGCCGTTTGTTTTTCATTTCGTAAAAATAAGAATGAAAAATAAAGTCGTTATGAACTCCACATAAGAAATATAAATTCAAATTTGATAGATTGATGCGATGAATAACAATTATATTTTTCATTTTAATGGAAAAAAAATGAAAAACAAACTATACAGTCCAATACATACAAATCCTAATTAATTCTCTTTCTACACACTCTCTCTCTCGCTCTACATTTCTCCTACAACAATCCAGTCGCCTCCCTCTGTTGTGTGGTGACGGTGTTGTGGTGGTGGATCTGGCGGTGAGATGTGGCGATGGGTTGCAGCGCAAACTAGTGTTTGTGTGGTGGTGTTGATGGTGGCGAAGCAGATCTACGACCTGCGTGGGCAAGTGGTAGCGGTGTTGTGGTGATTGCTGACAGTGTCGAATCTGGTGGTTGATGGTGCATCTAGAAGTGGTGGGTTGTGGAGCGAAATGGTGTTTTTATGGGGGTGGTGGTGATGGTGATGGTGTGTTCGTTGTGTGGTGGTGAATTTGGCGGTTGTGGTGATGGTGGTGGATCTGGCAATGTGATGTGGCGGTGGTACAGGTGGTTGATGGCGGGTGTGATGCAGTGATTTTGATTGTTAAGAGTGGTGATGTCAGCTTCCATGTTTTAATGATGGTGGTAGGTGGCGATTGTCATGGCAGTGGGTGTGGTGGTAACAATGAGATGTTGGCGGCGCGTGGTCTATCGAGGTAAATGTGTTGATTTTGTTTGAGACAGTGCTGTTGTTTTCGTGTGATGGCAGTGGTGGTGGCGCTGTTGGAGGCAGTGGTTGTTTGGTGGTGGTCACAAATTAATTGGTTGGTTGTGACCATTAAACAATATGTAATCAATAAAAAAGATAAATTGTGACCAAGAAATAATGTGCGACCTAAAAAATTAACAATTTAAGACTCTTTAATAAGTTGTAACCTATAATATTTGTAATCTGTGACCTATAAATAAATTATGACGTATAAATTTTTTATCTGTGACCGATGAACAAATTATGACATACAAAATTTTGGAATTTGAGCATAAAATAATTTGTGATGTTAAAAAATTCTAATTTGTGACCGAAAAATAATACGCGGCTAATTAAATTGTAAATCTATGACCAAATTGTATAAATATGTGATTTTAATATGTTTAATTAATAAAATATGTACTTAATTAATTAAATTATAAATAAATTTTAATGAATATCTGATTTTAGAAATTTGAAACTTTTATTCTTACTTTTGAAATGAGCAATAGTTATCCTCTTACTTATGAAAATTTCCCCATTTTTTTAGCCCTTTTTGGCCCAATTACTTAAGTTTCTTCTTTTAAATTCATTTTCAATCACACATTTATAACTTTTATTGAAAGTTTAAATTTTAGTTTGAATTCTCTTGCAATTCGAAGTTGAACAGGTTTCAAGTGTACCATATAAATTATTTGTTCAATAGTTTATAAGTTTATCGTTTATTTGAATATTTGTTATCCATTAATAAATTAATGTAATGCTTAACATGAACTAAGCGCTGCATATTATAGATAATTTCTCAAATACATTATAAAGGTGTTTAACACAAAACTATACGTGCAATCCTGCATTATTGCATAAGCACTCTAGGCATGTATATTTGTATATTTTTTTAAGCCTGTTTGATTCTCATTTTTCTTTCTTATAACATATTTTCCATCAAAACATTATTTCAAAATGTATTTTTTGCGAAAAAGTTGGCATCGAACAAGGTCTAGGTTGAAAAGTTCCTTTTTTCGAAATTTTTACAATTTTATTTTCTCCTCTCTTCTTCCCTCAAGAATCATTCTAGTTATAAAAGGAAAAAATATATATTTATGCTACCAAAAATCTGCACCTGTTGATTTTCCGAACTTGGGAAATGTGAATGAGCACGATCGTAGTCTTTTGGTACCTGAAATAAAGGCAACGAGGTGTATTCTCGTCGTCCTTCGACAATTAAGTCAGAAAGGGAATTTGTGCATGAGGCTATAACTAGAAAAGAATGAAAATGTACCTGAAGAATGATCCAAACCTTTGTATTTATAGAGGTAGGTGGTTTTCTCCTAGTAGGATTGAACTAGTTGGGTATTATTATCCAATAGAGTCCTACTTGGTACAAATGATGAATTTGTACCCTGGCTGTAATCTCAATCATTATGACGACGTTGTTGAGACCAAATTTCACGAAGCGGAGAAGTCTTGGGTCGAAGAGTTTGGGGGAGATTAGAGTCCTTATTGGGCGAAAACTTCTTGGAGCATGGATAGGCAGGGCATTGGGACAAAGTGTGAAGGGTAGACCGAGGTCACGAGTCTGAGCATGTGGACCACTGAACTTGTGTGAAACACTAGTCCTCGGGCCACAACACCCGAACTGTTAATGTGTCTCGAGGACCCTGAGACCAAGTTAGGCCAAAACAAGCGCTTAGAAATCCTCGGGAAAGATATTCCTCAAGAAAGGGAGTCATCAGGATGAGTAAGTTAATGTCATCATCATATACATTTAGAGGAAATGTGTGGCTTCTCTCTCACGTCCTTCTTCACTTCACTTGTCTAAACATTTTGACTATTTTCATTTTCAAGATATATTTTGTGAAGCATTGCTGGTAATTATTTAGACAAATAGAAAGATGAGTGTAGTCAATTTTCTATGTAATAAAACCATAATTTGAATAAATTTCTTCAAAATACTTTGTTTCGGTGAGAAAATCTACGAGTTAATTACATCGTGAGTATGGAAAATCATGAAAATTGACCATAATGGGCATATTTTCATAGAGTTTATAGAACTTTTTAATAAGCCTAAAAAGCATGCTCATGAAATGTTAAATTCTACAAGAAAATTTCATGAGTTCTATTGAAAACGAGACTAGTCGAAAACAATAGATATTTGTAGTTTGATGGGTTAATTTCCTATATGGTCACTGAACTTTACTCAAAGTTCTCATGGGTTCACTTGAACTTTAAAATTGCCCCCTGTAGTTATAAACTTTGAAAATTGGTACTTCATCCATCGCTGTGTAAATTAAACTTCCAAAATTTGAAGAATTTGATGACATTGAGCACGAGTCTACAAGTATGTGACCATTTTTATTTACAAATCGCCAAATGAATATTTGAGTTTCTTTCTTTCTTTTTAATAGCTATTGAATGCATGAATTTATCCAAATGTAGATCTTTTCAAAATTTGAATATCACAAATTTTATGAGCTGAATTATTATGGTTTCTAACTAGGGTGATACATGTACTTAAAATTTACATCCTGATCTACATAATGCTCAAGTAGCATTTCATCACTGGCTAGTGGAAAAACAAATTTTTTTTTTTCACCAGTCAGTGATGAAATGCTACTACAACATTATGTTCACCCTCATGTATATGTAAAATAATCTTTTTAACTAATTATAGCATGATTTATGTAAAAATCTGAGTTATAGTTTCCAAATGCTTGCCATGGAAGTCATATCGTCTCATCAAATCCTTTCAATTTTGCAAGTGTCGTGTACGTAGTGATGAATGTGATACCAATTTTCAAAGTTAAATGTTCAGTGACTTGGTGGGAACTTTTATAAAAGTGCAGTGACCATTTAAGGAATTTACCGGTAGCTCCGATACTTGGATGGACTCTTTGACAGCTGATGTGTGAAAAGACCAAAAAGCCCTCCGTAACACTCCATCCAGACAAAATATACGGATAAAATTCTCCTTTCTTCCTCCACAATTTTATGTCCTCCCATTTTCCATTCCACTCATGAGCACTACCTCAATTCACTCCACAACTTTCCTCCCTCAGAATCGAATTCATTTTCCTCCGAAAATTCTTATGGCGAGGACTCTAATTTCCTCCCCTTCTTTCCTAGGCATTCCTTTTCCTTCCTCATTCGACCGTCGCCTCCCATCACACAGCAGACGTATAAGTACTAAAGTGAGATATAGCCTCCATGACCTTCCGCCTATTCATTCTTTTCAAAGTTCAATTGACTTTAACGCGATTGTTAGCCGAGCAGAGGGAATTCTCTATACTCTGGCTGATGCTGCCGTGGCTGTTGATGGTGGCGCCGCGTCTGAGTCGGCGAGCTCCGCTGCTCAGAAAAGTGGTGGGTGGTTTGGGTTCATTTCTGACACCATGGAAGTTGTCCTGAAGGTAATTGGTCGTGTAACAAATTTAATTGAATTGAAGAAACTTGTTCCTCTGACTATTTGCGGTATCAGGTACTAAAGGATGGGCTCTCTACTGTGCACGTGCCCTATGCTTATGGATTTGCTATTATATTGCTCACTGTTCTTGTTAAGGTCGCGACATTCCCTTTGACGAAGCAACAGGTGAAAATAAAGATGTCCTCTTGTAAACCTGCTCTTGCCACTCACTTTTTCTGCTCAAATTTATTATTTTATAATTTGATAGAAATATAATCCCGTTTTGTATTTCTACAGGCTGCTCTTCCAGTTTCTGGTTTTTGAATGTCAATAGTTGTATAGAGTTGATAATATTACTGTAAAATAATTTACACTTTATTTTTCGATAAGGTGGAATCAACACTGGCAATGCAAAACCTACAACCAAAGATCAAAGCAATCCAACAAAGATATGCAGGAAATCAAGTGAGCATTTCTACCACTACTATTTTATGAAATCGTGATTTTCTTATGCACAAGATGTAACGTTTGAACCTCCTTGAGAGTTGAGACTAAATGAAACATAAGGTATAGATAAATGACGAATTTGACATCATCCAACTATCAATATAGTGGTAATAAGGAAGAATAGAAAGACAAAGTAGATGAGCTCTGTGATACAGTTAGCAGTTAAAGATAAGTTTAGTAGAATAAGGAGATACAGATAAGCTTAGTACCAAAATTCCAACTTAGTTGTGATAAGTGTGGTGATCTAAATCTTTACATCATTCTTAATTTTCTTCCAGGAAAGAATACAACTTGAGACATCCCGTTTGTACAAACAGGCAGGGGTCAATCCTCTTGCAGGTATTCTCATGATTAACAATTTGCATTTCCAATTTTTTTTTTTAGTTAGCTCTAGCTCTATTGATGTACTTCAGTTTTTCTTTTCTTTTTTTTTTTTTTAGTTAGCTCTAGCTCTATTGATGTACTTCAGTTTTTCTACTTGATTTCTAATATAACCTGATCTAAAGCAACCTAGGTACAGAAGAGCTTATATTCTTCATGACTAGCATTTCTTTGAGTTGGTTCTGCTTTTCGAAAATTAATGTTCACTTATTATAGATTTCAGCTTGTCCTCTAATCAAGTGGGCCAACCAACTCTACTCTTTGACGCCAGATGTTATGTGAGAATTGTAGGAGAAGGGGAAAGGGGAGAGAAGAAGAGACAGGAGGGCGAAAGAGAGAAGAGGGGAAGATGAGAAGATAGAAATTAGGAAGGGAAATCAATTTATTTCATAATCAAAAGTTGTTCCAATTACATTGCATAGATCCCTTTATATAGGGTTTAACTTATGATAATTAAAGTAGGAAGATACTCTAAATAAATGACTAATTATGTTTCCTAAAATACACATTAAAATTGGAAATTAAATATAATAATATCCCTTCTAATATTGCATCATTTCTCCCCGACCGAGAGAACTCGACTCCGGCGAGATAGACGGGTACTTCATACTTCAAGGAGGTCGATTTTTTTGCCTTCACCAAATGCTTGTACTGGACCTTGGATAACAGCAACTTGTTGAACTCATACCAAGGAGGGCGATCTTTCTTAAGAACCAAGTATCATCATGTGACATCAACTGAATTTGCAAAGCATCCCCAAGAACATGATCTAACCAAGGGGGATGATCCCTTTGTCTGACCAAATATCGATACGGAACTTCAAAAAGTAACAACTTATGCAACTCATCCATAAAGTCTTCAATTGATTGTTCATAATAAATGGTACAAGGATCTAACAAAGTAAACTGACCTGCGAAAACAAGTGAGTGCAACAATGGCGGCTCGAATGTACCCCAACAAGGAAACAATTATGCTATATTGAAAACAAAACCCTCATTTAAGTGTGATGGCCAATCAAACACATTAAGTTCAAATGAAAAATTCAAGCTTTTCTTTACATGCGTGGGAAAAGTGTTTGAAAGAACAACGACATTGGACAACGTGGTAACCCGAGAAGCATCACAAAGTCGAGGTAAAACCTTATCAAAGTCAATGTTAGAATCATATGCAACAAATTAGGCAAGATTAACGTTGGTGTGTAACTGGGGATAGATGGATTGTTCGACTTAGTTGGTAACACTATAGATAACTCCTCATCCTCGTTATCAAAATACTCAATTGGCTTAACGGTGACAACTTCATTATCTTTATCAAGAGGAATACAACTAGACTGGGAAGGTGATTGTTTGGGCTGGGATGATATATCTAGCTTATGACATGCTTGGCGAAGATGACAGGATATGTACCATAAGTTGGCCTATTGGTAAGCCTCATCTAAGGATTGAAATGCAGGAATATCAGTAGACAAAATTTCAAGATTCAAACCATCGATAAACCTAGACGTTGTGATGTGAGGAGCCTCATAAATATAACACTTGTTCAACAACTCTTCGAAATAGGCTAGATACTCACTAACAGTAGAAGGACCTTGTCTATAGTGTAAAAAGAATTGATTTAACAATTGAGTTTTATAGTATGCAAGGGCATAGTTTTTGCTTAAAATTCATTTCATCTCATCCCACAAAGTGATAGTGTGTTGGCCTAGATGATTACGCAAATATGATCTCCAATAAGTTTTAGCAGAACTGACCAATGACATATAAGCATGACAAACTTTATGTGAGTCACTCAAATTGTGATAAACGAAGAAATTTTCTAGATTATTAAGTCAATCAAGAAATGAATCGAATCCAGTGAGGCCATCAAAATTCCACAATTGTAATGCAACTTGTATAGGAGAATTCTTGCTCCTAGTAAAGTTCATATATGGGGAATAATTGTGTTGATAAGTGTAAGGGGAACGAACATGATCGTGGTAGTGACTTAAAGGTGTGGTATAGGTATACGAGTTATGATAAGAATCATGCATTTTTTTTTTCAAAAACAATGCAACTAGGAATTAATGTGTATTTTTATTTTATCAGTTTGATTTTTTTTTTCTTTTATATATTTAATGGGCCAAAACACTTAAATAGAAATTAAAGTTTTCAAATAACAAAATGTTATACCTCATAGGGACTCAAATCGATACGTTGGCGGTGCATCCGATATTTCATTTCCAGACTTCCAATTCAGTGGGTAGTCAATTGAGAACAAATATTTTCCTTATCCAATATCTCCAGTCGACAGTGGCTGGAGAACTCCACGAAGGTTGAAAGACAGCAACTTCTGGAGATTGTAGCTTTTGCTTGTAGACTAAGGTTTGGGTTATTAGGCAGACAGTAACGCAGCAATTTTATGGACAGTAATGTATGTAATATATAGGTATGTGTATGGGTTGTGTTGGATTTAATGGCGATTCGAGGGCTGTATGGGTAGTGAGTTGCAGATGATGGAGAAGAAGGTGATGAGATGGTGGTGTTTGGGAAGGCGTGCAGTCGCTGGTGATGGGGGATGGAGCCGGTGCGGTGGAGTCGATGGTGTTGGTGGGAGGAATGATTGCAAGGGCGATGTTTCTGTTATCGGGATGGGAAGCGGCCGTGGGTACCTTGGTGGCTGTCGAATAGCAAAGCCGGGGCTAGCGAGAGCTAGGGTAGCTGGCAATGTCGTTAGTTCTTGACTTCTTGGAGAAGGTGAAATAGTTGGTGGGACTTTTTTTTTTTTTGGTGGGTTTTGTGTTACTGGATTTGGGTCGGTTGGGAACGGACTGGGCTTAGGTGAATATGTGGTGTTAGGTAATTGGTTTTGATAAAATTAGAATTGGGCTGAAGGTTTATAGGTTTTAATGGAAATTGGGTTGGGTGAATAGGTTTAAAGGCTTGGATATGTGGGCTGGTAATTGATTATATGATTTGGGCTATTTAGGCTTATAAGTAAAAAAGGTTGAATCCCAACCTTAGGAGCCCCCACCGACCCTGCCCTGGGCATCATGGAGGAGGTAAATCGCAGGATGTGCCTCCCAGGAGCCAGGGTGGATTTAGGCTTATAAGTAGTTAGGCCTGTTGGTGGATTATTTGATAGATGTGGGTGTAGGGTTTATGGTGGGCTGAATATTTTTGATTTTGAGGAGCAGCAACATAGCAGCAAACAAATTTTTTTTGAACTAATGAAAAATCTTAAACTGAATAATTTCTGGGCGTGAACGAGTAAATTTAACCAATAATCACTGAACTTTACCCTTGATTACTACTTGCTCACTCATTTTTCACAGGTTACTGAATGCTCACTCATCTTTTCATATAATTACTCATTCACCACTCGTTTTTTTCAAATAATTGGACGACTTTTATGGCAAATTTTCGACAACTTCCGACCACAAAGAATGTCGAATTTTGATACCGTTGGAAAGCCCACGATGTCCTCTTCAATTACCCACCAAAATCTCATTATAACTCCAAGAGATTCGATCGGAAAATTGCCTTAAAAGTTGCCCAAAAAATCTGAAAATCTGGGCAGATTTTCAGAATTTTTGGACGACTTTTAAGGCAACTTTCGACCATCAAAACTATCTAAGTTGCCTTAAAAGTTGCCCAAAAAATCTGAAAATCTGGGCAGATTTTCAGAATTTTTGGACGACTTTTAAGGCAACTTTCGACCATCAAAACTATCTAATTTTGATACCATTGGAAAGCCTACAACGTCCTTTTCAATTACCACCCAAATTTTCCTGATAACTCCAAAGGATTCGGTCGGAATAAACTCACAAAGTCAGCATCCCGAACTTTGTCCAAATTTTCGCCTTTTCGGGATGCTGACTTTGTGGGTTTATTCCGACCGAATCCTTTGGAGTTATGGGGAAATTTTGGATGGTAATTGAAAAGGACATTGTGGGCTTTCCAATGGTATCAAAATTCGATAATTTTTATGGTCGAAAGTTGCCGAAAAATTGTCTTAAAAGTTGCCCAAAAAATCTGAAAATCTGGGCAGATTTTCAGAATTTTTGGGCAACTTTTAAGGCAATTTTCTGATCGAATCCCTTGAAGTTATAATGAGATTTTGGTGGGTAATTGAAGAGGACATCGTGGGCTTTCCAACGGTATCAAAATTCGACATTCTTTGTGGTCAGAAGTTGTCGAAAATTTGCCGCAAAAGTTGCCCAATTATTTGAAGAGACGAGTGATGAATGAGAAATTATATGAAAAGATGAGTGAGCATTCAGTAATCTNNNNTTTTTTTTTTTTTTTTTTTTTTTTGCTCTGTTTTTTAATATTTGAAATTTAAATAATTTAGGGCCTTTTTTTTTTTTTTGGTGACAGGCTAGTAGTTTAGTCTTATGGTGGTTGGAGAATGTTTTGTGATTGGCAGTGGCTAGTTCAAGGTTGAAGGTCGAGTTTGTTGGTCAAAGGATATGATTTTAGCTCTGATATCAAATTGACACCGGGTGTTATGTGAGAATTGTAGGAGAAGGGGAAAGGGGAGAGAAGAAGAGAAAGGAGGGGGAAAGAGAGAAGAAGAGGGGAAGATGAGAAGATAGAAATTAGGAAGGGAAATCAATTTATTTCATAATCAAAAGTTGTTCCAATTACATTGCATAGATCCCTTTATATTGGGTTTAAACTTATGATAATTAAAGTAGGAAAATACTCTAAATAAATGACTAATTATGTTTCCTAAAATACACATTAAAATTGGAAATTAAATATAATAATATCCCTTCTAATATTGCATCGCTCTTTTTCTTTGACCACGAAAACAAAAACTCTCAAATGAGAAATAAATATCAAGACTTCGAACTGCTTTCAGTGTAGTAACTAGAGACTTCAAGGAAGTTTGATTATTCAAATGACAATGTGACTTAAGCTTAGGTCAGAATGAGAGGTGAAAAAGGTTTCATGCAGTTGACACTGAGTTTATTTGGAAATAGGATTTAGTTTGTTGTCTTTTTTCCTCTTTCATTCTGTGGGGTTGCCAATTTTCCACAATGTCATTTCGTCATTAACATGTCTGGTCAAAGCAACCAACGTGGCACCTCTAAAATATCAATCTAGTTTCTGCATATTTTCTCCTTCCTCATTTTACTGATTTTTTTTCATGGAATAACAGGATGTTTTCCAACTTTGGCTACAATACCAGTCTGGATAGGTTTATATCAGGCTCTCTCAAATGTTGCAAATGAGGTACTCAGAAAGTTGCTTTGGTATTTGAATATTTAGTCTCATCTGATTTCTGTCTTAGCAATGGATTCACAATATTCTTATGCAGGGGCTGCTGACTGAAGGTTTCTTTTGGATTCCTTCTTTGGGAGGCCCAACAACCATTGCTGCTAGGCAAAGCGGAGCTGGAATCTCCTGGCTATTTCCATTTGTGGTAAAGGAAAATCTCCAAATTTATCAGCTAACAAGTGGCTTTCTTGCTTCTTTGACTGCCTTTTTTTTCTCCACAATCCATTTCTCTGCTTTCGGGTCCCTGAAATCCTCTACACCAGGAAGATATAGATACCGAGCTACGATATGCTGCTTGGCTCTGTGAAAAATACAAGTAATGTGTATATTGTAAAACTTGCAGGATGGACATCCACCACTTGGTTGGCATGACACTGTAGCATACCTCGTTTTACCTGTTCTTCTTGTGGTATCTCAGTACGTGTCAATGGAAATCATGAAGCCTCCCCAAGTAAGATCTAACATTAAGTTTGACTTTTGGTTTTCTATAATTTTCCCTCTTGCATGTCGTCCTGATATCTCAGTCTTGTTCTTGTTCTGGTAGACAGATGATCCATCTCAAAAGAACACACTTCTCGTATTGAAGTTTCTTCCATTCATGATTGGTTACTTTTCTTTGTCTGTCCCATCTGGATTATCAATATATTGGTAAGTTGGAGCACTACTCATCTATTGTTTCATCATATCAACTATTGGTTTATGAGTTTATCTTTTCTGCACTAATGTTTTATAAGCATGGACGAGCACCACATTTTGATGACATGATTAGGGTTCTTCCTGTACTTCTTGTCTATGGACATCTTGTCCTGTATAACTTTTTCTTGATAATGAATTGCCATTTGTATCCAAGAAAAGATATTTTCACATGCATGCCAATATGTGATTTATTCACACAGTATATCACATTACATATGATTTATGTAATTTCCCCTTTGTTACAGACGGTTAAATGCTTATATATATAGAATTTCAATCTTACAATGTCACATTGGGGATCACTAGAGGAAAGAATAACAAATATTAATTGGCATAGTTTTATAAATGTGGAACTTTAAACTTGATATCTTCCTCAAGGACATTAAATTTACAGCATGGAGAGATGTACTTATTGTCCACGCATATTTGTAAGCATCGAGTCCGACTTCATAATATCATTCATACAGTATTTATTTTAGAATGATAATTTATTGGGTTTGATGATTTTTTTGCTCATATTATTGGTTTTTCAGGTTCACAAATAATGTGCTCAGCACAGCACAACAAGTATGGTTACGCAAAATGGGAGGTGCAACGCCTGCTGTGAGTGAGAATGCTAGCGGAATTATCAGTGCTGGACGTGCAAAACGATCAGGTGCTCAGCCAGAACGTACGGGTGATAGGTGAGTTCCTTATTTTAAGTCCTTTTATTATTTGTATTCTGCTATTTTAGTACGTTGTTATTGAATGGAATTATTTCTAATACAGATTTAGGCAGTTGAAAGAAGATGAGAACAAGAAAAAGGGTAGGGCATTGCTCGCAGACGAGGGTCAGACTTTGCTTGCACCTGACTCCGAAGACAAGTCAAATGAAGAAACGAAGTCCAAGGTAAACTTCATTTCACGGTTCATGTCAAAAGTTTGATGGCAAATTGGATGTGCCATTTCAAAATTGAAGACTTATTTTAGGAGTAAAAAATAAGCGGTTGTTAGACTTGATTTGATTTGATTTCTTTTCATGTTTATTAAGTGAACTTAGGAAGTTTCCATTTGAAAAAATAAGGAAGAGGATGGTTTCATCATGAAGCAGACCCATCACAACATAATAATTATGTCATTGCACCATTCTTTTGGTGGGGCAGTATAACTCACATAAACTTCATTTGTAGCGCCCAACCTCCAAGACTTTTCTACTGCACTGAGCCATGCATGGGTAAACAAGCATTTCATGGGATCCATTACCAAGCCCAAACATTAACGAAGTGCACAACTAGTAATCGAAAAATTTCTTCACTTCAGTTCCTTGATATAATAACACCGTTCCAAATCTAACTCTGACATGATGTTAAAACATGCATATCAAAACCAACGCAATGAGTGGAGGACGCTTGGTCTCATGTACTAGTTTCGTATGCTATTATTCAACCATCTATCTAACAGTGTAAGTTGTTAGTGAACTTTCACATTTATTCATTTAAATAAAGTCTTTAATAAGCCCCTCACGTGCATGTGGATTCATTTTTCATCAAAGGCTTGATTTATGCATAATTTTCATAAATGGTGACAGAGTGACTTGGTCTGAGTATCTTTCTTTGTCTCTAATATTATGTTGAACTACATTATCTCAAGTGGACATAGAAAGGGAAAATTTATTTAATTAAATCTAGTACTCGATCTCTTTGAGCATCTGATTCTACATCATGCAGAGGTGAGACAGTGGCCGTTAGAAACTCTACTTCACGAATAATAAACATGATTCTTTATCAATTTTGGATGTTACTTTGTTTAACATCCCCTGCAGGATGAGGAAGTTCTGGAAGAGGCATATGCTTCTAACAGTAATAAACCAGTTCCATCTGGTCCGAGGAAAAGTAAACGATCAAAGCGGAAGCGCACAGTATGAAATTGTACATTGGTTTTGTAGTTACTAGCGAACCTTGTATATTTCTTAAAATTGTGAGTTAGTGAATATATAGCTGGCCCTTCATACGTCAGTCATCAGTTTAAGGGCATGCTTTCTTTTTTGAAACAGTCCCTCAGCTCTCAATTGTACCTCATTCATATATTACATTGTTTAATATTATACAAATTTGTTATAGATCTAAATGCTAGCATGGCAATTGAAATGTTTCCTTTTAACTACTATACTTGAATGTGAAGTCCACCGATGGGTTTCTTGGTTCAAGGACACCTTCCCCTTCTGGAAAGTAGAACATATTCCTATATACTGTTTCTTGACCTGCACTGTCTTGCTTGTAAGAATGAGATACGGTATTTTGTTAAGCAACAACTTTATGTACTTCAAATCCAGGAAATGCATCAATTTGGCCCTGCTCTATATGTAAAAGGTTTTTCTGTCTCATATATTTTATAAAGGGAAATCGAATATTTGACTTTTGTACAGTGCCCTGAACATTACATGGTTTTAACTTGTACAAACATGTCTAAACTCCAATAACTAGAGGAATTATTGTGTTATGAGGACAAATACTTTAGGGCATTGATGGCGACGATGATGTCCTATTGGGTTTGCTCCGGACGGTGTTTTAGATATCTTCTTCTCTTTTACCTCCTTTTTATTGTTTGTCTGCTAGTAAAACATAACTTGGTGTAAAGGACCGCAGCTTTACTTAGCCCCTTGACACTATCGCAGCCGCAGTTTGCCCAACTTCGGCCGCACATTGTAAATATTACTTCAAGTTTGAGTTGTAATTTCGTTTCATTGTAATAGTTATTTTAATTGTAAAATAGCTCTGATATTGGTAAAGATTAGTATGATTCCTCGTCTTTTAAACGTCTACTCCCGTCACTTGGGTTTTTGTTCAGAATGCTATTATAGGGGGTATTAGTCATTCAAAAATCTTTCAAGCTCACTGGTGTCCGCCCCCTGCACCAGCATTTTTAATTTTCTGCTTTCATCAATTGTAATGTTCAGTTTTCAGCAATCAATGTTCAATTTACTTTCAATATATTCAAATTCTCAATTGTAAGCTTTCTACAAAATTGCAATCAAATTTTCTTTCGTCCCGACGCGACCGAGAAAAGGCGGAAGGTAGTCTAGCGGAGCAGACTACTGCCGCACGGTGTCCCTTTCTGTGCCAAGAAGAAAGGCACCCCGTGAAACTTGGTATCAGAGCTGCGGCTCAAGACCCTCGATAAGAAAGCTATGGATCCAATTACATCACACACCACTGAAGTGGTAGAGCCTCAAAAGAAGGGTACTACGAAACAGCGCGTGGATGCGCTTGATGAGACAACTACTAAGTTGTGCTATGCTGTGGAAGGTCTCGAGGAAAAAGTCGAGATGGCCGAATCTGAGATTCGTGGATTACACATCCAATTGGATGAAAGCCAAAGAGCTTGCGCAGTAATGACGGAAGCTGCTGCAATCATTCCTGATCTGCAGGATGAAATGGAAGCGTTGAGAGCTCAATTGCGAGTACTCCAACGTGCGGTGGGCAATGGGCAAGCTCCCGCACACGAGTATGCTCCTAGACTCAGAATTCCTGAACCGTGTACCTATGGAGGGGCACGTGATGCAAAAGAAGTCGAAAACTTCTTGTTTGATATGGAACAGTACTTTCTAGCAGCTTCGATCGAAGATGAAGCTAGAAAGGTAACCACAGCCACCATGTATTTGGGTGGAGATGCAAAATTATGGTGGCGAACCAAATATGCGGACATTCAGGCCCACAGGATTCGAATTGATTCTTGGGATCTCCTCAAGGAAGCGATCAGATCGCAGTTTTTCCCGGAAAATGTCGAGTATCA